AAAAAAAAAAAAAGGAAGTGAAAAGAGTTGTAAATACATAAGTCCACGAAAGAGGAATGAGGTCACTTTATGTTCAAATTCGACCACAGCATAAGTTGGGACCAAATGTATGGGGATAAAGTCATAAACCAAGTTGTGCATGTGCTAGATAGTTTCACAAGCTCATCAATAGATTGATAATAAGCAAGCTCCTAATATCATGTACCTCATGGATTAGTGTCGAACATTGGATAATTTCATAGTCTTCTATATCATCTAGTACATGCACAATGATCATGACATCATGTTATGTATGATAATAATGCACTAGAACGTGGTTCGAGTAATCAATATAAACAAAGCCAGTTTGTAATTACAATACCAGAAGCAGTGGAACAACTAAGGCTATGTTGAATAGGAGCTGCACAATTAGTGCCTTAAAAGTTGATGTATGGCAGTGGATGGCTTGTCTCACAAGCATTTTTCAATTAATACAGATTATATAACACACCAATGACCCGAAATGCGGCATTAAAGAGCTTCTTCCGGGTGATGGAATGGGGACAAAAATAAGAAAAATGATGCAAGAACAAAATAAAGAGCAGAGCATCACCTTGGTTTTCATGAATTCGTATATACTTATAATGACTTCTGAATCAACAGAACAAATGCTCACATCTAAATCAACTTTCCTATCTAACATATGTCTAGCATTGTAAGGCAACACAATAACAAATAAAGGAAAACTTAATAATGCAACTCATACAATTTCAAAACGTAAAACAGCGCACTCTATGTGAAGTCACAAAACATTATCCCTATAAGTAAATTCAACTGAGGAGCATATAACAGAGCCAGAGGCTCAGTAACTAGAGAAACTATGACAGAGAACACTGCCAAAACAATGCAGCAATCAAATAGTCATGTGAGCATCAAATGAGTAAAAAAGAATGCAATTACACCATAACCTTACTCACGAAATCAAAAAGTGGATCTTGTCCAGCTTATCCAAATTTAATGGGAACCAAGCATATGAACAAC